CTGAACCAATACTGCCTTTGTCAATTAGATTCTCCTCACCAAATTTATTTGTAGCATTTAGCACTTCATAATATGAAATCCTCTTGACAGTGATAGGGGAAGTAGACTGAGTTGGAAGAAGTGTATTTCTGCTACGACTTCTTATTAAATAAACAATAGTAATGGTCAGACTCAATACAACAACAATTGGTGGTAAAATGTACTTCAATAATTTGGTATTGCTTGATAATCGAGTTGTATTACATGACTTGACCTTAAATTGAGATGCTCCACACAATTCTCCATTGCCAATGAAAAAATCAGAGGTAAAGTTCTTAAAATGCCCTCCATTAGGAATTTCCCCTATCAGTTCATTGAACGAAACATTGAAATACTCAAGGTCCTCAAGTTTCTCCATTGACTTGGGGATTACACCATCGAGTTTGTTCATGGATAAATCCAATATTTTCAATGAAATCAGATTACCAAACGAATCAGGTATAGGACCATGTAATCGATTGTTTGATAATGTTAGATTTTCCAAACTTTGAAGTTGTCCTATTGTGTGAGGAATATTACCTGAGAATTGATTTCCTGATAGATTTAACTCTCGCATGTTCTTCACATTTCCAATTTCTGGAGCCAGCGACCCATTCAGCAAATTATTAGCTAAACTCAAAATCTGAATTTCCTTGTTAGTCCACATTGTGGATGGGATAGTGGAAGTCAATGAGTTGGAAGTTAAATAAATTTCTCGTAAAGAGGTCAGATTTCCTAAACAAGTTGGTATCTGTTGAGAAAGCCGATTTGACTCCAAAGATACATAATACAGATTTTCCACATTGCAAAGGCTGGTAGGCAATGGTCCCTGTAGTTTATTTTCACCTAGACTCAGTTCTTGCAATTTTCTTAATTGACCAAATGTGTCAGGAATTCTTCCTGTCAATTCATTGTCTCCAATGTCTAACTGGATCAAGTTGCTCAAATTACCAATTTCGTTGGGAATGATACCTTTAATACCACACCGACTGGCAAAAAAAGTTTCAACAGATGCTGACAAATTACCCACGGTTTTTGGTAATATTCCATCAAAATAATTGTTTCCCAATTGTATGATCTTCAATTTTCTACATTTTTTCAATGAAATAAGAAAATCCAAATCATTTGTCAACTGATTTCCATCAAAACATAGAACCTGTATGCTCTGTAAATTCCCAAGATTCATGGGTACTCGTCCACTAAAGGAGTTTTCACTAATATCCAATTTAATAAGCTTAGAAAAATTTGAAATAGAGGCAAGAATCTCTCCAGTCAATCGATTGCCACCAAGATAGAGAATTTCGAGATCAGGAAGCCCATCGGCAATTGACAATGGAAGATTGCCATATATACTATTCTTGGCAAAAGAAAGTAGCCGTAACATGGAGAGATTGAAGATGGAATTAGGTATTTGACCNAATGAATCCCATAAATTCATTTCATTACGAAGCTTAGAAAAATTTGAAACAGAGGTAGGAATCTGACCACTAAGACTGTTATTGGACATAGACAAAATCTTCAAATTCGATAAACTGCCAATTGAATGCGGAATTATACCTGTGTTTGTCAACGCACTCAAATTAATGAATTCCAAAAGTGCTAATAAATAAAAGATAGTTTACCTGTTAAGATGTTCTCTCTCAAATATAAATATTGAAGTCCTGATAAGTTTCCAATTCCATATGGGATGCTTCCTGTGTATACATTTTATAACAAAAATTAAAATTCAAAACTAAAATATTTAAAGTTTCAAAAAGTTATTATCGAATGTTAATACACATTTGTCTCAAAGAGTGTAAAAGAAAGGAACTGTAACATGGAGCGATTGAAAATGGATTTAGGTATTTGACCTTGAAGATTGTTGCCGGACAATCCTAACACTTCCAAACATGATAGAAGTTCCAATTCTTGTGGGATATGTCCATGAAGACTATTGAATTCTATATCCAATTTCTTCAAATTTGATAAATTGCCAATTGAATGCGGAATTGTACCTGTATTGTGGTGTTTGTCAACACGCTCAAATAAGTGAATACCAAAAGAGCTAATAAGTAGTAGATAGGTACTTATCGAGATATTCAAGTCCAAGTATAAATATTAAAGTATTGATGAGTTTCCAATTTCATATGGAATGCTTCCCGTGAATAAATTTTAGGATATTAAAAATTGAAATCCAAAACTCAAATATAAAAAAATTTCAAAAGCTTACTATCAAATAAGAATACTGAAATTGTAAAGAGATAACTTACATATAAACATTAAATTCAAATAAGAATGCTTTTAGAATGACAAATGCACAAATGAATTTAGAATATTTAATTATTTAGCAAACAAGGTTATGCAGGGCAAAAGTAACAACAAATGAGAATAAAGAATAAACCTATGAAGTTATTGTTGCGTGATGTATTTGCCATCGACTCATCGTACATATCTTTGTTATATGTTTACCAATTTAAAATTTGAGTTTTCATAACTGAAGTTTCATCCTAGGTCCTCAAACTACAAATTAAAAATTAAATTAATAATTATAAAATTATAAATTACTGACTAAATATTATAATAAGGCTAGCCGCTAGCGACATCAATCTCAAATAAAAGATGATTGGGACCGTAAGATTTGATGTTATTAAGGTGTATTTCTAGTAATTATTTGAAAATGCTCAACAGTTGTCAATGCTGATTTTTTTCATTGTACCATCAGGTATTGAATATTGCATCTTCTTTTGTTCAAAAGGGTGTGATGACATCTTTAATTCTTTATATAGGTTTCTTGGTAGACTTTTCTACATGCTTTTGCATATTTATGGGCCAAAATTGGTTCCTAGTTTCAAAATGCACAATGGAGGTTTCAGAGGTAAGTTCATACATAAATTCTAGTCCAGCTATGTTAAAGGACATACTCCATGGGCATCAACACGCAAATCACTATGTATGTAAGAGATGTTTTATGATGTGAAGGGACAACCCGTTAAACGTACGCACCTGTCAAATAATTGTTTCCAAGATATAGAATTTGAAGCTTTGACAAGTTCCCTATTTCCACTGGAATTCTTTCGGAGAAATGATTGTATGACAGAGAAAGTAGTTCAAGATTCGTGCATGTTCCTATGGTTGGAGGAATGTTGCCACTTATTTGATTCACTGACATCCTTAACCTCTCTAGCTTTGGAAGATTGTAGCAGATGTGTGGAGGAAGACTTCCCGTGAGACTGTTGTTATTTAAACCAATTTCTATCAAAGAAGAGAGATTGAAAATCCTATTTGGAATATCCCCACTGAGTTTGTTAAAGGAGAGATTTAACTTGTGTAAATTTCCAAGAAATCCAAAACTTGTTGGAATATGACCATTTAACTCATTGTCCTGTATCTCTATTTCTCGAAGCTGGCTTA